ACTCTAGAAAACTATTTGCAGTGCTATAATCCTTGACGAAAGAACTTGTTCTGCTTCTTTTGTTCAGATTTGTACTAGTCGGTTGTAATTTGGACTTCCTGTGGGATTGGTCTTGTTGAAGAGACCAGACTCAGTGGCGACCTCCTGCTTTCCATGGCTCTAGTGACGGTTCTTACAAGCAGCATTGGCTTCTCCTCCTGTGATGCCCTTCCTGGTTTGGTCTCTGTGAAATCATTTTTACCTCAGGGTTCTCTCTTGAGTTACACCCAGAATGTGGCTCTGCGCTCTTAACACAGCTGACATTTGGGCATCGCATCTGCCCTCCTCTCCTTGGCACAGCCTCTCATTCCACAGCCTTTTCCCTCAGAATCTCACACTTGGCTGTGTATTATGAAACCTTGTCCATTAAAAAAAAATCCTTTTCTCTTAATGAAACATTTGGTTCCTGAGTATGGTTTACTTTTTCAAGGTCATCTTATCTAAAGATCATCTCTTGTTTGAATCGCCTTCCAAACCGCAGAAGAAAGTCCACTAAAACAACAAAATTGATAGTTTGAAATAATTATTTTACTGCCTTTAGTATGGTTGAGAACTACTTTACCCTACTCTAAAATTTTATTCCAAGAAGGATCTGGAACAAATTAGATTTAATGGATTGGTCTGAATGTTGCAGACAGTTGAGTGTTTTAAAATGTTATAGATGGTAGGATGTGAAGAAACCACCACACTGAAATCCTCTCCTTCTTACCTAGACTAAGAAGCCTAGACGTAAAACCTTCAGGGTTATCTGCTTCTGTCCCCAAGGTTACAGAAGACAGTGACTGGTTACAGAAGACAGTGATTGGGCGTGGCCATGTGGGAACCATCATGGCAGGAGGCAAAACTGAAAGGTAGACACCTTTACTGTGGGAGGCCGAAGTGAAAGTAGGAAGGAATGAGCCCCAAGCACTCACTCGCCCCTCTGCTGAGTTCTCTTGGGCCTTAGTTTCTGCTGGTGAGAAAACAAAGGGTTGCAGAACTCACCTTTCTTTTCCTAAATCCATACTAACATGATACTTCCACTACTCAAAGACTGACATTTGAATGATGCTGAAAAACCAAGTTGAGTGAATCTCCCACGAAGCCTGACATAAGATAGATGTGTACATTCGCACACACACACATACACACACATCTCTAGTAACATCCTGTGTGTTGTCACCCTTGCTGTACCTCAGCTTGGTGGTTGATGCTGATGGTCTGTATTTGGAGAACAAATGAGGTGGGATGTGGGTGAGAACTTTTGTCCATTGTGCCTAAAGCAGCCATGGGTTAGAATGATCACACTGGTGGCTTACACAGGTAGTCCTCATACCCTGCTCAAACCTAGAGGCCATTTGGGTAACTTGTTTGGGTAACTGGACTGAACCACTGTTGTGGAAACTAATCCCCATAGGGATCTTATTGGATTTCAAGAGTTGGGTGAGGAAACCTTGAGGCTCTATTGCCTTTGGAACACATCTTCATTGGGTAGATGGGTTGGATTTCAGATGGGCTGGATTCAGTGTTTGGCATTCAGAATACATTTCTCTTTCAAAATGATGTTTTAAATGGTAGTTGAGTTTTCAAGCCATTCCACAAAAACCCTCCACTTAAGCCTCAATATGGTTTTGATGCCATAAAACTGTATTTGCAATAAAAATAATAATACCCAGGACTGTGGCCATATGAGTGATTTTAAAAAAATAGAAAAAATCATTGTGTGTAGTTCATTCTCTTGAACTTTCATATTTAAGTGGAAATAAACTTATGTAGAGGGAAATGAGAAAGTATGTAAAAGTTTTAAAGAGGTTCTGAGAGGTATCTGCTACATTTCAAAGGCTTTAGAGCTGGTGGCACAGGTTCCTTGCAATGATTGGCCCAGAAAATGCTTCTAAGAATATAGGGATGGTTTCTTTTTCATAAGTAGGATATTTTAGAAATCTGTGAGAAGACTGAGGAGATACAGTGGAGAAGAGCTCTATTTTCCACAGTTAGTGAGCAAAATGAGACTATCAAAGAGAGGGAAAAGTTGACTAAAAAGTGCATCTGAGCCCAGGAAGAAGGAAATTAGCTGAAAGAGCATCCACTGAGTGGTTGAAGAGGAAGGCATGATGGGAGAACCATGAAAATCCCTCAACTTCAGGAAGCTGGGGGTAGGGTTCCTCTATGACAGGCCTGGGGTTGGTCTGGAGTGGTCCTGTTAGGCCTGGGCATTGTGGAAATGGACAGCTAATGGATGCAGAGGTTTCCCAAGTGAAGCCTACCCGTCTCTCTCCTCAGAAGGAAACTGTAGAGCAAATGATCTTGCTCTGTGCTGTACTGCTATAACAGAACCCCTGACATGATCTAATTTATAAAGGAGAGTTTATCTTAGCTCGCGGTTCTGTGAGCCAGGAAGTCCAGGAGCAGGAAGCTAGTGAGGAGTTCATGAAGGAGTCACTTGTTGGGAGAAGATGAGCTCTCTTTCATGATGACAGGGGCTCTCCACAGTAGCTCCCTCAAGGTCAAATAACTCCCTCCTAGAGAGCAGCATTAATCCCTTCATGAGCACACAGCTCCCAGGACTCAAACAGCTCGTGATAGTCCCGTCATTTCTCAACACACTGGAAGTCAGATGTAAACACCGCTTTGGATAGGACAAAGCATGGCACAAATAGAAAGGAACTGTACCATAGTACATTTGGTAAATGTTGGGATTTAGTTCTTGCCTTTACGAGTACACTTCTGCCTCTCTGTTTCTTTTACTAAATTCATTTCCTTTGCTTCTTACTAAAAATATTATCTATATACTACATTTTCTTTTAAAAGCAGCTAACCTGATGCAAATGTTTAAAATCTTAAATTGATACTACAATTAAAAATTTCTCAGGCTTATTGTGGTGACAGCAACATATAAAAATAGTATAATTTTCAATACTTTCTCATCTGTATTTAAGACAGAGCAAGATTATTTATCTTTGTTTCCTCTAAGAAGATATCAATTGCCAAGTATCTTAAGAGGCAAATAATTTCAAGTGTTCTGAATTGTTTATAACCACTGAGATAAATATGCTGATTATTTATTTATTTATTTTTTATTTTAAAGATAAAAGGAGGGAAACATTAACAGACATACAACATTTTACAACATCACAAGCACAGTACAGACAATACAGAATTACAGACAAAGTGGTAGGGAATTAACAGCTGATTATTTATTTAAAATCTATCTATTAATAAGAACTTTTCTAGACTCTGGTAGCTCATATTAAAACATATGTAAACTACATTGTGAATCATTGAGAATCTGAAAGTAATGTCACTTTAAATTTTCCATGAATTCAAAATTTCAAGCATTTATGCATGGTTATGATTATTTAATTAGTAGGCAGCAACTGCTTCATAGTATAATCAAATCTTATATTCAGGTTTTACAGACTGAGAGGTGTTTTGTTTTGTTTTGTTTTGTCTTGTTAGGAAAGGAGCCTAATTAAGTTGTATCTGAAAAATCCCTAGCCTCAGACTAATTTTTAATGAAAGTTTACGAGCACTTAAGAAATAATTGGGTAGCACACAATGCCAGGTTCTCAGTCTATATACCTATTTGGCTTGCAGGAATCTGTCAACCTTTCAGGAGAGTTACCTATCAGCAGTACCTCAGGCACTGTATACGGTTGTTAAATTACCACAAAAAAGTAACTCACAGCCAACATGGCACACACTAAACAAGTTACCCAATCTACATGCAAATATATACAAATAGTGTCAGATTTAAACTAAACATTGTACTCAGAGAGAGAAGCCTTCTGCGCGATCATGGGCTTCAAGAATCTATACCAAACTACAGTACATGTTAAATAGAGCAAGATTGAGCTACTTCAGTGTTTCATATTAACATCTGAAGATGATGTTTTGTAAGAAGCTACTGTCCTTAGAGATGGAGACCGAAGAGAGAGGAAATGGGTGAGCTGAGGTCTTAGATGGCAGGGTCAGTTCTTTGTGGAGTCAGCCTGTGGACTACCGCCTTTGGGTCCTTGCCGCTGTTAGGAGAAGGTTGGCTCCTCAGTGGAGCTGTCCTCTGAGGACAACATCTGACATGCAAAGTTTTGTTTTTGTTTTCATACAAATGTGACACTTTCAAGGGCTTATGCTAATTTGTTTCTTTCCTCTCCAAAGGAACCTAAGCCAAGACTGACTCTCCAGCTGAGTGGAGTCAGCTCCTTGGGCATGAGCGATTTTGGTTTTTCGTTCTGTAGTACTGAGGGCTGAACCTGCTGTCATTGTACAGAGCACATCCTGCCTCCTTTTAAAATGTTTTATTTTGGGACAGGGTCTCACTAAGTTGCCAAACTGATTAGAAGTCATGACCCTCCCGCCCCAGACCCCCAGAATGCTGGGATTACAGGGGTGCAACAACTCCCTAGCTTTCAGATCCTAACCTCAGCCTCCTTCTGGATCTTGCATGTTAATGACCTCCTTCCCAGGTGATTTGGACACATTTCAGGGCAGCAGGGCTTTGAGTTTCTCTATGAGCTTCCCTACAGTGGCGTCTTCATGGCATTGAGTCAAGCTTTGGTAAATTCTCACATTTTATACTTGCTCTCGATGCCAAGACCCCACTTGCCCAAAGAGCCTCATGTCTTTTGTCAATAGACCAGTAAGGCTTTAAAAATAACATTTGGTACCAATTCTCCAAAGCATGAAATCTATTTATGATTTTGGCTTGGTTGTGCTATTAGTCAAACCGTATATAGAACGTGTATATTGAAATGGGCTAAATAAATGACAGGTTACTATGAGCAACAAAACTAAGAGAAAATTAAGTCTTCTAGGAATGAAATTTTAAATTGGACCTGGCACTTTACAGAACTAAAAGAAAAGGTATGGTTAATGATCACTGAAGGAACTCATAATTATTTATTTATTTTTAAGCAAGGCACTACTTTCACCTTTTTCTTACCATAAAAATAATAAAACCACTGGTTGGCCTGGATTCCTACCTTTATATCCTGTGGGTTGATATCAGGATTTGTTCGACACTGCAGAGGCCCCAGAGTTTGAAGGTGAAAAACATAGAGGAGAAACTCATTCCGTGCAGAAAACGGCCAGCCGACTTCCAGCGTGGTGTCGCTGATGGTGCTTGGTCCAATATTGTGCAGCTGCAAGCAAGTGACATGTTATGAAACGGTAGGAAGAGGAACTCTGACTCTACGCACCCTGGACCTGTTTCAGAATGCATCCATTACTGGTGTTAAGTCACCAGAATTATGACTGTTAACAAGAAAAAGAATAAGAAAGTAAGAAAGAGTCCAAATGGGTAGGAAGAGCTTAGAAAGCAGGATGTACCTCAGGACTCTGGTGTGAGGTGCTCTACATGTGGATTTCCTCCATGAAGATAATACAGACTGAGCACCTTTATATAAAATTCCTGAGACTGGAGGCTTTCCGATGTTATATTTGAGAACATTTGCATATACATAATGAGCCCCAAGTGTAAAGGCAAAATTTGCTGATGTTTCATATATGCATTATGTACATAGCCTGAAGGTCATCTTATGCAGTATTTTAAATGTGCTGTTGTTTTGCACCATATCCCATAGCATGAGATCAGATATGGAATTTTCCACTTGTGGCATTGTGTCAGTGCCCAAAATGTTTTGGGTTTCGAAGCACAATTCCTGTTTTCAGACTAAGCATGCTCCATCTGTGTTACCTATGTCTATTTACCATGACTTTATACTAATTTAATAGTAGTGCTAGAAATGCAATTTTAACTATACGCTTTCAAAACTCAGTAACTCTGTCTTTCCATTGGAATCTGCCTCTTCTTGACTACTGACTTGTCAATTGCAACCATATGTGATGCACTCTCGTTCACCCCCTGGAAAACTGGACATCCATCAAGTGCCAAAGCCCATCTGGGCTCGCTGCAATCCACTGTCAGTGTGTGTTTCAAAGCTGAGCTCCTTCTGTTCTAAACAGCAAGTCTCAAGGCAAGAAGGGCCACATCTCACAAAGAGATGAGCAATTTGCATGCATGAATAGCATACTCACAGCACACAAAAGAGTGAGCCGAAAAAGTGTTTACATTTATTGTGGATTTTAAAATTCACCTTCAAAATTAGCAGGGATCATTTCCTCCCCGACAGTTGTGACAATTATCACGATTCTATGAAATAATGAACAATTGTTTCTGCTTGTTAGGTGGCCTATCAAAGAGGTATGGCATCTGTTGATGTTGTGTATACATATATATATATATATATATATATATATATATATATATTTTTTTTTTTTTTTTTTTTTTTTTATTTTTAAATTTTTTTTTTTGAGGGGGGTACTGGGAATTGAACTCACGATCTCATGCTTACCAGGCAGGTGCTGTGCCATTTCTGGCCCTGATGCAGTATGTTTTGAGACATGAAATTAATGTGTAAGAACATGTGGATATTGCTTTTGGTACAACTTGTAATTACCCTACACTTTTATAATCAATTTATGCTGAGCTTAGAAGCAAGACTGCTTTAAGTATGATTGAATCAGAATATTTTCACAAGCTTTAAAGTCTCACTTGTCTGCTTCTGGAAAATATATTACTGATCAATGGACTCTTTCAAATCTAAGAATAAGTTATTCATTTCTAAGCTGGGTTATGTAACTGAAAAGTAAAATTATCCTTATCTCCTTGCCATGCACTTATACATACGTTTTTTCTGTACAATAGAAAAACACTCATTAAACTTTCCGTCAAGTGCCTTGGAGTTGGCGACCTTCAGTTTAAGAGATGGGAGAGCTTGGGGCTGGGGATTTAGCTCAGCGGCAAAAGCGCCTGCTTGGCAAGCGCAAGGTCGTGAGTTCGGTTCCCAGGACCGGAGAAAAACCAAAAAAAAAAAAGAGAGAGAGAGATGGGAGAGCTTTAGAAATATCTGAAAATGCAGGAAAAATTGAAAGAAAGTCTAGAGAGCAAGTTATTTTTATGTGTGTGCTGTCCAACTATTAAAGAAAGCAAAAAAGAACTTTGTAAAAAAGAAAAGCAGTACAAGATAAAATGTTTCTTACCATGTTTGGCTCTTACCGCCAAGAAGGAATTGACCAGATCTGTGAGTACTAAGACAACCCACTATGATAGGAGAACACAAGAACAGGAATCTAGGCAGCGCATCAAGCTTGGACTTTGGATGGATGTTTCAAAAGATGTTGTATGTAGCAGAGAGCAGAGGAATAAAGCCCTAACACAATTTAAACGTAGAAGACAGCTACCTCATAAATATGTTCCACCAATGGCCCGACTTCCTCTTCTTTGCGGGGCTCCTGTCCCGGTTCCCAGTTATGAATGGGCAGAACAACTTGCGGAGGGTGCGATACTCTGGAACATGGAATGGTAGGTTAATGGCGGATAGGTAAGGAACATTTCTCCACAGTGTACACTAATAGCAGAAGAAACACATATCTCTTTAGGTATTTGAAAATATATTGCCTACCTGGAGAACATTCTGGAACTGACAATTAGAAAAATGACTAAAATGATAGTGAAACATCTGCTATGGCACGCTCCTAATTAGTGGTCTTTAGTTTGGGTTGACTCTTTTATGGCATCTCATTTCTTGAACACTAGAGGGCAGAGCAGAGAGCTGCTCTTGAGATGAATAGTTTAACATACCCATACATAAATATTTACATTTATGCAGTCTGTGTTTGTGTGTGCACATGTCTGTGTGTATACCGGCTACATAATCCCCCTTTAAGCCATACAAAGAAATGGGACTTTTTTGTGTATGTGGATAAATATCTAGTAATTCTGTGTGATACATTTAATATCTAGTTGTAAAGAAATATAGTTTCTGATTAAAGATTTCAGAATAGAAAAGTGGTCATCATATACCTCTTCTTAGATTTCTTTGGCTTTCTATTAATGTGACCAGACCTCCCTTGAGAGCAGGTGAAGAGCTAGAACAAAATAAAGCATGATGTAGTCCTAGAGTCATCTTATAGATAATCAAAGGTGAGAAAGAGTTAAATGGTATTCTCATGTAGGTTAAATGGTATTATCATGTGTTAAGTAGAAGATTAGCTCAATATGTGGGTATGTTTTTCTGCATTGAGGATACTGTAGCATTATTCCATGTTAAATGCAGACTATAAACCCAATTGTTGTTTTAAATAAATCATAAAAAGAATAATTCTCCAAAACACCAATGTTTTGTAGGAGATTTGAGGTAAACATGGGTCCTTAAAAGAATTCCTAGATTTTGACTAAAAGAACTTTAACAGAAAACATCTCTTGTGGCAATTAAATGTCTCACATGCCTTACAGGGATATCCAATAATTATTATAGCATCCTGAAACTTCAGAGTTATCATTTTGCTCCTCCACTGGGAGACCTCTTTCTGAAGCAGAAAGTATAAAATTTATTGGGTTAAATTCCCACCATAGGGCAAGTAATCTAAGGTTGGTATGTCTCTCTTGACTCATCTTGAAAATTGTGATACACTGAGTTGTCTACCACAAATGACTGGAAAATATCTCAAACGCTTTTGGTCAAAGTTAATTTGGCTGCATTGTGTTTTAGAAGTATATTTGAAAGTGGGCAACCCACAGAAATGTTACTAGATTATAAAGCCCTTCATATATAGCCTTCACTTGTACCTGTTAAATAAAAACTGTGGGTTACAGCTATGCTGTGTTGACTCCTCAAAAATTCTCAAGCTTTACATTGGCTTCTCGCTTTGCTGTTCTCCTTTCCTACTGATTTGATTAAATTACATTCAGCTTAGATGTGGGGGGCATGGGAAGAGAAGGACAAGATGCGGTGAGTTGCTTTCATCAGCTGGAAACCCAGAAAGCTTGGACCTTCCTTCCCACAGTCTTGCTTACTTCCCCACCCAAATTTTGACTTTGTTCTCCCCGGCTACTGAGTGGGGTCCGTGCTCAGCATCCATTATCCACTGTGAAGTGCTAAAGGATTTTTTTTTTAAGCATAGAGAAAAACTAAAAAAGAAGCTGCATACATTTTCTCTGCAAAGACTTGTTCTTATGGTCCTCGATCATGTACGACTGGTGCTAAATTCGCTAGGATCACAGAATCAGGCATCTTTAGACCTTGACAGGTATTGTAGAGTCAATGTAGTAAAAAAAATTCTCTTTGTACAGAGAAGTGGTGGGTCAGTTATAGGAAAGGACTAAAGTAATGTTTCCAAAGACATTCTACTCTTTTTCTAATATGCTAGCTATCCTTGGGGGTCCCAAATTGCAGCAATAGTTAGAATACAATTTAAAGCTGGGCGTGGTGGTGCAGGCCTGTAATCCCAGCACTCATGAGGCTGAGGCAGGAGGATCCTTGCAAGTTCAAGGCCAGCCTGGGCTACAAAGTGAACTCAAATCCAGCCTGAACTGCATAGCAAGGCCCTGCCTCAGAAAGAAAAGAAAAACACAATTTAAATTTTTTGATACAGTTCTGTAGTAAAATCAGATTGAAATTTATGAAGAAACATGTAAGTTATCACAAGGCACTACAAAATCATTCAAAAAGTAAGAATCACAAATCTCAGTTGTTTATCTATTGAAGAAGACTCAGATATGGGGTAAACTATGGTGCAGAATGACTTCAGCTAACTCAAGGACACATAAATCAGTGAATGCTTTACAAAAAGGGAAGTAAGCCAGCAAGAAAGAACATAATCAACTAACTTGTTTGATATTTACAGCCCATGCAGTAATGTAACCAGCCCTACTAAGTAGAAGACAGAGTATTATTCATTGGGACTCTCAGGTGATAAAAAAGATTGGGGTACTGTTAATGGTAACCCTGGCTATTAGGAGAGGCTTTGGGGAGAAAGAAGGAACTTGTTTTTCAAATTAAATTTTCTTTGAGATATGTGTTCATAAAAAATAACATAGGGAGATCTCATCTACCCTCTAACCAGTTTTCCCAATGCTAATGTCTTACAAAACCAAGATGTGGTATTTTGTCTACTATCAAAACAGGAATATTGGCATTGATGTAGTCAAGGTACAAATCATTTCTTTCACTTCAGAGATATCCTTTTATAGCCATACTCACTTCTCTCCATCTTTATTCACTCTTTATCTCTTGGCAACCACTAATCAGCTTCTCTCTTCTATAATCCTGTCATTTTAAGAATGTTATGTAAATGGAAATACATAGTATGCAGTCTTTGGGGACTGCATTTTTTCACTCTGCGTAACTCTGTGGAAGTCCATCCAGGTTGATCCATCTTTCAATAGTCCATTCATCTGGGTTTGAAACCCCATATCATTTTTAATATCCTTGCTTTCTTATGTTTGTAGTTTGCTATTTTTTTTTTACTATTCTCTTTAAAATAAAAAAATAGGGAAGAGAGATAGGGGAATGAAAATAGAAATCTACAAAAATAAGACAAGTACTGGTACGTGTATATCAAATTAGCCAGCTCCCGTAAATTAACCAATAGCTTAAAGAAAAAAATCACAAAATTTAAAAAAATTTTGGAGTGACTTATAATGAAAACCCAACAAATCAACATTTTGGAATGCTGCTAACACAGCAGAAGAAAATGTGTAGTACCAAATGGTTATATAAGAAAAGAAGGGAAGTTTCTTGTCACTGTTACCTGGTCTTTTCCTGAAAATAAGGCCTAACTGGGAGCAATTAGCCTGGAAATAATGACCGGCTGTAATTAATAGCTGGTCACTACCATGGTGATGGCCAGTATCATGCAGATTATATCTCACTGTTCTCTGGTTGGCTGGCTACTCTGTAATGGCAGGTAACACAAGTGTTATGGCCTCTGTCTAGATGCCCCTCCCGCCCAATTCTCATACAGTCATAGGTGGGGTTTTTCAGAGGTGGCCGGATCTAGAGTGTGTGATGGTGGGGTTAAGTGTGTGAGGCTGAAATCTATGGTATGTGATTACTACTTTAGTCCACGGATTAGTTTGGCATAGTTTTTGGTGTGGGTAATGGCAGAGCCTTCCTTGGATGTGCGTGCTACCCACTCCAAGATTGTGTAGCGTGAATAAAATATAAGGGACAGAAACAGGACTGCTGTCGCTGCTTCACTACTTTGCTGCTTCCTGCCTTGCTGCCTTCTACATTCTGCCTGCCATGAGCTGTTTCCTCTCTGCAAGGCCCCTGCCATACCACCCTGCCTCAGAGCCAGCCAACTATGAATCAAGACTTCTACAAACTGTAAGCCGAACGAACCTTTCCAACTTTAAGTTTGAGTGTCAGGTATTTTTTCTTAGCAATGAGAAAAGTAACCAAGACAGCAAGGTTAGGCTGATTACGATTGGTACTTTTGATCTTTAGTTAGGTCTTATTCTCAGGGACACAGAAATTTCTACATAGAGGACCTAGAAAAAGAAGAGACAACCATACAGCAATAAAAATATGGAAATAACAAAAAATGGAGGACAATGGAATAAAAAACAGAATCAAAAAAGGAAGGGAGGGAGGGAAGGAGGAAAAAAGAAAGAAAATATCAAGATTTGGTTCTTTGAAGAGATCATTAATTTATATCAGATTGATCAGAAAGAAAAGAAGAAAGGAGAAAGTGCAAATTGCCAGTATCAGGAATGATAGAGGGAATACACTATAAATCCCAAAGATATTAAGAGACAATATTAAGAACAACTTTATGCCAATATGTGGAACAACTGAGATGAAATAGACAAATTTTCTGAATGACACAGGCTGCTCAAGTAGAAATAGCATGAATAACTTTACATCTAAGAATGAAACTGAGTTGTTAAAACAACTTTATATTTATAATCCAGACTCTCATGTCTTCACTAGTGAGTTTTGCTCAACATTTAAAGAAGAAATAATAACTAACAACACAAACTCTTTTAAAAAACAGTGGAGCCAGAGATATAGCTCAGTGGCACGGAGCCTGCTTGGCAAGTACAAGGTCCTGAGTTTGATTCCCGGTATCCCCCCCCGCCAAAAAAAAGTTTATTAAAAGAAAATAGTGGAGATGGAGGAACATTTCCAACCCCTTTTCATGGGGCTAGTATTTCCCTGACACTCAAACCAGAAAAAAGAAGAAAACCTCATGATTATACTTCATGAAGGTAGATTTGCAGGAGTTCCTAATAAAATTTTAGCAAGCTGAATCCCAGAATGTATATTTAAAAAGATAATTAAAAGAAAATGGGCTTCTCCTGAGTGCAAGTTTGGTTTAAAATTCAAAATAAGAAATGAATCAATTCACCACTTTTATGGGGAAAAAAAGAAAACCATTCATTCATCTTCATTGACACAGGAAAAAGTATTTGAAAAATTTGAACACATATTCATGGTTAAAATTTCCAAGAAAAACTAGAAATAAAAGAGGAACATCTTCAACTTGGTAAAAGCTGTCTTTGAAAACTTGTAATTAGTGTCAAATTTAATGGTGAGAGATTGGATGAGTTCCCTGTGAGGTTGAGAATAAGACAGGATGTCTTCCTAGACTTGCACTGGTGGTCCTAGCGCTTGCTGTAAGAGAGGGCAAGGGCAAGGAAATGCAGGTTGCAACTATGTGAGCAAACACCTTAGCCTGGACCAGCAAGACGTCTGGCCTTTGCCCTCAGCTTGTGCTGCAGGATCTCTGTTTTCTGCATTTTACGCCTGCTAGGATTGGGTCTGTTTGCCTGAGACCTTGAATCACATAGGATTTTCCAGCAATGTGATTTAGGGTGGGTGTTGTCCATACCGGAAAGACCAATGATGTGATTTTAGATGGGAGTTTAATTATAGCATATCAATCAACATGGAGACTGAGATCAATTATACAACAGAGCCCTAATAAAAACTGTGACACCAACGCCTGGGAGAGCGTCACTGGTCAGTGATACTTCACACATGTGGTCACCCATCAATACTAGGGAAATATAATGTGTCGTAAGTCCATGGGAGAAGATAGTGCCAGCTCTGTGTTTGGTACTTATCCAGATCCTGCCAATGTTCTTCTCATGGCTGATTTTTTATTCTAACCCTTTCCCATATAATAAACCAAAGTGAATATGGTCACTTTCAATGAGTTCTTTAAGTCCTTCTCATGAATTTTTGAACCTAAGTGTAGATATGGGAACCTTCCAAACCTGCAGTTGGTGTCAGAAGTGAGGGTGTGCTCTTGTGAGGTCTTTCTTCTCTAATTGCCATGGGCCAAATTTTTCCACATGCAGATGGGAAAGTCAAAAATAAAAGCGTATTTATTAACAGAGAATATGATAGTTGTACAGAAAATCATAGAAAATCAGCAAACAAAAATGCTAGTACTACTTAGAAAGGAATCTTTCAAAATAGCAGGACATACTCCTCCATTTCAACACTTAGGATTCATGCAGATCAGTTAAGTCTTAGGATACATGTGGGTCATAGGGAAGAACACAAAATCCATAAATAGACACTCACATATGAAGAACTGATTTAAAGAAAAGTGCTGAAGCAGTTTAATGGGGGAGAAGGATCTTTACAACAAAATGTCCCAGAAACAAGTGAATTATTCATAAGTAAAAATGAATCTTGGCTCTTACCTCTGACATGACAGAAAAATTAAGATAAAATTAATCATAGACCTACATGTAAAACATGAAAGAAATAAACCTCTAGTAGAAAACATAGGAGAAAAATTTCATGACCTTGGAAAGGCAAATGATTTCTTAGCTAGGATACCAAGAGCCAAACCGTGAAAAGCTGATCAATTGAATTTGATAGCAAAGTTAGACTTTGGCTCTTTGAACAGCTTAGCTAAGACAATACAAAGTCATATTTGAGACCTGGAGGAAATATTTGCTAGATGTGTAAATGAAAAGGGATATATCCAAAATAGATAAAATAATTGTACAACTCAATAATAAGAAGGTGAACAACCCAATGAATAAGTGGGTATACGACGGAAAGAAATACTCTAACAAAAACAGACACTGATAGCAAATAAGCTTTGTAAGGAAACTCTACAAAACTGGTCACTAAGCAAATGGGCTTAAAATTTCAGTGAGATTCAGGACACTCATTGAAATGACTTAACAGAGACAGATATAAGATGCATGCTGGCCAGGATGCAGCACAGCTGAACTGCCATTCAGTGCTAGAGGGGGTGCAGAAGGGAAGTGGTCCAGTCCCTCCACAGTCAGGTAATTTCTTCCAAACATACACTGACCACCTAACTCAAAAATTCCATGTGTGGAAACAAATGCTTCAATGAAGAGCTGCATGTGAATGCTCTCTCAGGAGCTTGATTCTTGCTAGCCCCAAATTGTTGCCAACCTCTGTGATTACTAACTAGTGAATGAATGCATATTTCGCTAGACATCAGTTCAATGGAGCAATTCTCAGCCTTAAAGAAACAGATGTTGACACATTCAAGAATGTGAATGTGTCTCAAATTCATAATGATAAATGGAAGAAGCCAGACTCTTTCTGGATGAGTCTACTTATGTGACATTCTGGAGCAAGAAAAATAAAGTGACAGAAAATAGATCAAGCTTGCCAGAGTTTAGGGGTGGGAGGTCTGACAACAAAGGCACCACTTGGGATGAAGGTATAATCCTGAGTTGAATTTTCTTGTGATGTTATAACTCTTCAAACTGTACTCCCAGAAGAGTGAATTTTACTTCATGGAGCTTATATATCAATAAATTGCACTTTAAAAATGAATCCCACAGACCCCATAAACTGTGAAAAGATACTTGTATGTCTAGCTGATAGATTAGTGTCTAAATTCTTGAATTCAAATGAATTCTTATGCACTAGCAAGAAAAAGTCAATCATCTTAGGAGAAATATGTGCAAAAAATTAACAAGAATCTTCCTGAATACGAAGAATAAAGAAGTACAACATATACTTGAAAAGCATCTCAATTTCACTTAGAAATTAGGGAACTACACATTAATCTTCACCTACATACTATTTCTTAGCTATCATACATGCTTAAAATTAAAAACAGAACTATTGTAAGAGTTAGTTAATAATGTAAAGCAAAGGAGACTTTCATCCACTTCTTGTGGGAGTGTAATTTGCTGTAACTATTTTGAAAAAGATTTTGGTGTTATTTAGCAAAGTTAAATGGTGTAAACACTCTGATCTGAAACTCCACTTCTTGACAGACACTCTGCTGACATTCTTCATATATGTAGCAGAAAATACGCATGAAAAACATTGCAAAAATGAAAAATTTCCCAAATTTTCATTAAGAGTGGAATGGATGAATTATGGTACAGTGTATTTTTACAGTATAATGCTGTTGTGCAATTAAGGTGAATGAACTACAAGTATACGCACTAAAATAAGTGAATCTCAAAAAATTCACTTGAGTAGAAAGTCACAGAGTGTTACAGGAATATTCTTGTGTACATAAATTTTAAAAAACTCTATCTCTATGGGCAGGATATCATGGTCATTTCTGAGCATGAGCTTTGGAGCTGGTTGTCTGTATTTACATCCCAGCTCTCTATTTTCTAGCTGTGTAATCTTCAACTTGTGCCACAGCTCCCTCACTTTCACATTTAGGAATCTAACAGATCAATGGATAAAGAAAATGTGGTATGTACACCCAGTGCAGTGCTACTCTGCCGTAACTGGAGGCATCTGTAGGAAAATGGATGCACCTTGAGATCATGTTAAGTGAAATAAATCAGACGCACAAGCTTAAACATTGCATTATTTCTCTTATATGAGAAACCAAAAATACAAATAAAGAGCAAAATAAGACAGATAATAGGAAATGGGGTGATAACTCTTTGGGGAAGGGAAAAAGGACCAAGAGATGGAGGGAGAGGGGAAGAGGGGAAAGGGATGAAAAAAAAGAATTAAGATGTGTCAAGTACATGGACCAACTCCCCATGAGACATGCACTCATTATGTACTATAAACATTTACTAATAAAAAAATTAAAATAGAAAAAAAGGATGTTTAACACAGCTTATGAGAATAAAAAGATGTGCTAGCATGGAGTGGCATACAGAAGGCACCAATAAATGCTAGGCAGCGTCATTATTTTCCAGTCCGCTAGGGTGAGCAGCCTCACAGGACAGGAGTAAGAGGGGCCATGCAGACAGTGCAAAATCCACAGTTGGCCCCACAGAGGAATGACAACCACACTGGACTACAAGACCCGCTGAAAAAGAAGGGAGCCAGAATTCTGGAACCTTGGGGACAATCTGGTCCAAAATGCTTGCTGACATTTTTAGTCAAGTCTTCAATTTTTTTTCTAAAGAAAGCAGAATTACAATAACAGAATCAGAGAAGTCTATATTTGTGCAAAGTAGGGATGTATGCAGTCCATTTCTGATTTCCTTTCCCTCGGGCGTGGATCTTCCAGCTGATTGTCTTTCCAAGCCTTTTCCTCAAGCACTTTCCTTCTATCTCTCAACTGAGAGACCAAAGGGAAAAGATGTGGGATGTAGATCCCATGCGCCCTTCCACCTAATAAGAGCTGTTTGTTAAACCCAAGATATGGCAGGGTGAGGCAAAATGGTCATTATGCTAATATAATTATTCAGAAAAGTGAGATTTTTTTTCAGGCACTTATGTGTTTGTTGATTTTTATTAGCTTCTCATCAACTGGTTTTTATAGTTTGATTGTTGATCTGTCAGTTTTGGGAATTAAGTGATCTGTTTGATATCCCTAATTAATTAATAAACAGGGGTTTCCTATACTTTCTGACAGAAGCTGGGATTATAGAAAATAATGAAAACTGATAAACAGAAGGAACTGTGACCTGTAATTCAGGAGGAATGTTCTGTACAGATTTTACTAGTATTCCATGAGGCTTTACGTACAGAGGGTTATTGTGATGCTACTGAAATGCCTTGTTTATTACTTACCCTCTTATTTCTACTTGAGCGACAGCAGTGATGTTGATTTGCAAACTCACAAAATTGCTGTCTGGATTGTCCTTGTTAGAACTGAAACACAATGAAATGTAATTTAAATACCTTTTCTCAGATGTGTCACACACTATGATCATGAAAATATTCTGTACATTACAATCAAAACACACATTCCTAACCTGGTAGTTTGGCAAACAATGGCATATTCATTCTACAAAATCATAACCATTTGTACAGGGAAATGTTAAGATAGTTTATGATCAGCAGGAATGAAATAACTTCCTATCAGGAGATCATTCATCTGAAAATACAATAGATTTCTGGAGATGCTAACACTTTTTAATTTCAATGGCTAAACCAAAAAGACAATGAGCCTAGTTCATTTTCCAGCTTGTACCATAAACAAATTCCTTAACATCTTTGCACATCATGTTCATGGTCCATCAAATGGGGACCGACAGCGCAGTCAACTCCTGATTTTCCATGCTAATAAAGAGGAGACGTGGCATAAGTAACCCAGAACAGAACATAATTGAAAAAGCATTTGCACTTGGCTCTGGAAGGCATCATACTATACATATTTTGTGGGCAATTTTATCTTCCTTATGGCTTAATCTTAAGTTAATATTAAAACAAGAGAACATTCACTGCATCCTCAGTGGCTGTCCAGGGTGTGAAGTGGGTGTGAAGTAGAAACATAGGAAATAGCATGAAGAAACAAGACCCAAAGAGGCTGCACAGTATGCCCACTGGCAATTTGAGGTCATGTGAGTGTTTATGATGGGCATCAAGAATCTCAACCTGGAAAGTGTGTATTCAATACTATTTATTTGAACAGTGGCAAAATTACTTTTAAGTTTGGTGTTTCATTCCCTCAAGCAAATATAATTAGATACAAATCTTAACTTTTAAAAAGTAAATGTGTTAAGCAATCAGTGCTGTAAGGAAAATAAATTATACCTCCCAAGAGGTTCAGGTAGTGAAGCAGTCTTGGATGCTCGTGCTATGGATCTGCATTTTTTTTGTCCCTCTGTGCATCCATGAGAGTTGTCCACAGGATCAGTGTTTAGTAAACAAGCACATGGTCCTATGGGCACTTCAGAGATTGTTTTGATTCAGGTCCTCTTAAGAGAAGAAAGCCTTCTCTGTGACATGGAACCCTGCTTGTATTTGCTGGATCAGCTCCTGTACTGAGGTACTGTGATGGTGGGAACAGGCTAGATTCACGCTAGATTTTAGAACTTTCCAAAGTGAGGGCTAGAAAAGATCTGATCAAATTCTGCTTTCAAAGGAAGAAGAGGCAGAACTGTTCCCACAGTACTTTAGAAAAACTCTAGTTGATGGCATATACTGATAACTTAAACTGCAAACATACAGGAAAGATATAAACAAGGAAATGTCAGGCTCATTTCTTATCAGGGATTACTTACCACTGATGACCTTGTGACAGTCCCCAGGGATCTGTTCACTGAAGTTTGAACTCCAGATTCCAGGCCAGTTCATTGGA